TAAGAGAATTGAGAGTATTGTATAGGACTTTATAGGTTTCCATACAAGGTATACTGTAGCCTCCTCCGCAGACATCACTAAGAATCACGGGCTTCCTGTCTTTTTGAGGAGTCAAAAGAGAGAGAATGGGCGCGAGAAAAGGGGAGCGTGTGGAGGAGGCTAGGTATACTGGTATTACACGGTCGTTGGGTTCTCAAAGTCCTTGGCAAATGGTGAGCTATCGCGAAACCAATTCACATCCTCCTGGAATGAAAATAATAATAATTACAATTACTATTAAAATATGCAGCAATTAATGTGCAGAAATTATCATCTATTGACTAATTTTTCAAGAATAATAGAATATATCAGAAATTATGGGATATCATCGCCAATATTTTTTCAGAAAGTACTAGCGCTAGGCAACTTCAAAAAAATATTGGCAATAATATCCCATAATTTCTGATATATTTTATATATCGTTGAATATGTGTCAAAACGATCATAATTTCCGCATATTGCTGTATTGTCAATGTTGAAAACTTATAGTTAAACCATTTTGAACAGAGCTTTAGGAGTTTACCTTCTCGTATTTAATTTTTACCAATACTTGTTGTTGTAGCTCCTAAGAGTTCTGCAAAACGAGGTTTTTTTTGCTCTTTTTTCTTGAAAATCTTCCTTGTTATCTTTTTTGACTTCAATATCAATTTCAAATCGGGTAATCCATATACAGATTATCTACAACGTACAACTGTAGACTAAAAGCGCTAGAAATTGAGAGTAATGTTGTTGTTGTTGTTTTTTCGCTACCAGGGAGCGACACGTGACTTTACCGGCGACATAGAGCATAGATTTTTCTAGGCTTTCAGCCAATCAGAGCGCGCGTACTATCTATAAGTTATATTATAAATATAAATAATGTAATGCGTCAAGGTTAGTCCAATAATGTACCTCCTTCGGTTTTCCTATGTTTTCCTGAACAGCATCGGGATCATCCATATTTGGTGCCTTGTCATAATGCACAATATACCATGGTTTACCATATAAGGTGCCCCTTGCACAGCCTATCTTGCTTGCACCTTTCCACACCAGCTGAATAAAGTTCCTAATCACGTGATTTTCACCTTTACTTTTSCCAGTCTCAAAGTCGAAGTGAGACTTTTCGTCATGCCAGCTYTTTATGGCCGAAATGAATGTRGGGAAAATAGAACCCCATGCTATATTTTCACCTCCTTTGGTCTTAACCCAGTCGGAATGGGCCAGAATTCCTTTGTCGATCTGTGTTTGAGCTTGTTTTGCTAACTGCCTATTAAATAGAAGTGGCGGTACTCCATAGTTCAAGCGATAGGCGTTGTGTGTTCGCACGCATTCACTTTGACAGACATCGTCACAATCTATGACATGAATATTCAGTTCATTAGACATGACTTACACCTATTTTAAAAACATTGAGAACTGAATACTGTGATAAATCCATAGTTTATTCCAAGACCAAAATGCATTGTTGCCATGACTGGGGTTCTTGCACATGGTGCTACAAAACGCAATTCTCAAGTAAATTGCTTTCCAAGTAAGGTACAGAGATGGCMTAGTCACTCTAAAACAGTAAAACCCCTTTTAGAGCGTTTCATATACGATAACCAACAATGCATTTCGGTCCTGGAATACACAATCTTCAGTAYTGATAACTAATGATAAAACATCCAAAAGTAAAATTGCCTGGMGAAAAAACGGTTGCTTATTTGTAAATCACACAAATTGGTAACTAAGGCTATTTGTTGACAACAGGTACAAAAATTTCATCGAATGGATGACCATATGTTTATCTAAAGGATATGCTATTTTAACTTTTACACGACCCTAAAAAAAAACACAAAAGCAACACATCACTTACTAGTAAATACTGAAAACGTTTGGTTACTAACCTTTTACATTATCTATGTTACTGGCCAGCTCATTCCCCCAGCAGTAGCTCAGCATAGAAATGAGGGCGACTGTTGTAACTAATACCATCGAGAAGAGTGATAAGTAAAAAAAACGCCTTCTCACAAAGTTTTAGCGACACAGTAGGATGTCCGAAACGAGTGGCATGTCATGGCAGTGGGTTTCTAAGTGTTTTCGGCAGGTGTTTGAATTACAGTGKACCCTGCATTTGGCCCGCCTGCGTAATACGTCCACCCCGCCATATCGACCAAATTTTTAGTTACCGGCGCGGCGAACACAAATACTTTTCTAGKCGGTTAATACGACCACTTTTATGCGTACCTTCGGTGGCCGGATTAACGAGGTTCTGTACCACCCCACATATAATTTTTGAAATTATCATTTCAATTCATGTCAAACAGCAAGTTTTGGTAATTGAGAGCACGTTTAATKAGGTTATATCGAGTGCATGAACTCATTTGATTACTGATTTTGTGAGAATATGTAGAAGTACCTTTTTAGACAAAACAAGAATTCCACATTTCAACAACACGTTACAGGATTCAACAGCACTTATCTGTATTAACAGAACAATACAAAGATTTATAAGTAATGGCCGTTTAATATCAATGGTGGCTTCGAAAATGGTTTCTTTTGTGAACGAAAAACAAWAAAACTAGATAYAACGGTGGATAAAAATCAATAGACTGTGGCCAGAAAATATGAAAAACATTTCTTTACAATTATTACAACAAGATGCATATTAACTTGGATCCCTATACAATGTTGCCCTTTATTTGCATGCATATATGACACGATTCCACGCAACATTGAAAAGGAGAGCGGACGAGGAGCTGTACAGACATAATTTTACGATATTATATGAAGGGGTTATATTTTGTTTCCTATAATTGTAGTCTACCTAGTGGTAACTTTTCAAGCCACATGATTTGCTTATTTAARCGTAAGAATAAAACAATGGAGCTCTGTGAAAGCCCACCAGACTGCGATGGGGAGCGAGGGGTAACATCTGTAAGCGTGTCAGTGAAAAGTCCTTTTTTTTCAAGTACTGTTTTACATTTACACTATGAACTAAATTCCTTGGCTTCCTCGACTCTATTTGGGTATGATTTTGCACCTATTTCATTTTCTTTCATCCATTCTTCCCTYTCACTCTCTGCCAGATACGGATCTTTAGAGAAATGCGCGATGTAGTAATCAAATTTTTTACCAAGGGTATTCTCGACATTCTTTCTGTCCATTCCTTCAAGATACGGCAATTTTCTMAGGGCGTTTACATCAGATGGCCTAAACGGCACATCGAGAAGCGAAGGATTGAAACTATCGGTGGTCAACTTGTCGTCGGTTTCTTGAAATTGATCTTGAAARCCGTTTTCAATGACTACTTTCTTGGATGCTGATTTATGAGATGGCTTTACTAAATCACGTCTATGCCTCTTAACTGCACTGTGGTGCTTCCTGGACTTTTTAAACTTCTTTCCTAAGGTGCGTCGAAAATGTTTTAGATTTGGTTCATTTTCCTTGAGCCATTCTTCCCGCTCACTGTAAGCAACATAAGGGTCTTTGGAGAAGTGCTCTGTGTAGTAATCTACATTTTTGTTKGTTTTAGGAGTACCCAGTAAGTTYTTCACGTCATTTAATTCACTTACACCGTCGAATTCTGGCAGATTTGACAGATTTTCAAATCCACTGAGTGTGGTCGGGTTTGTTCCAAAGTCATCCRCTGCTTCATCATCTCGCAGGTTGGTCGGTATCGAGTCGACATCATCTTCCTCCGAAGTTGAAAATAGACGGGGAGTTTTGTAACCAGTCTCAATTTCTACTCTTCGAATCTTGGACTTCTTATGTCCAAGACGTCTTTTTCTGTGGTGGAAATTTTTCCAAGATTTCTTGGAATGTCCTCTTGACTTCGTAGAAGTCGACTTCGCAATGTGATGTCGTTTAGATGATTTCCTTTTGGCTTCAACCATTTCTTTTGATATYCCAATTTCAAAGTCGAGTCGTTTATTTTCATCCTCAAAATCCATTTCAGGCCAGTTTGCTAACGATTTCTTTGCTGTGAGCTCAAATATTTTTGGCGAATGCTCGATCGTTGCTTTACGAGTGCCACTAACTGCGTTATCTTCAAAAGAAATAATGAGCTTTATATTAAACATTTTGGATTAACTTGATTAACCACAGTGCATTGCAAATCACGTAGTTSATTTAAAAGCTCCAGAACAAAGCATTGAACCGAGGCGTCAAGGTACACTGACCGCGGATCTTTTCTTTTATGTTCACTGTACCTTGACGCCTCGGTTCAATGCTTTGTTCGTGGTCATTGAAGCTGGGTATGGAAAGTCGTGAATAGACGATTTGTAGGGACACCAGTTTTAAATAACAAAGCAAGCATCCCCGTTAAAATAATCCTCAAAATAGGTTTTCGTCTTTTATTTGCAATTGCAGTGTATGAAGTGAAAAAAAACCTTTCTATTTTTAGCAATCTATAGTATTTCCCATCATGCTTTATTCCAGAAAGATGGCGTCGCTGCATGTTGACTATTGCTTACCACATCTCTTGCACGTCTTTTTACATCCATACTCCATGTAAGACTTAAACATGGACCTTTCACAAATATCCTTGACTTCTTTCCATTGTTGGCATTTTGAAAACAAATCTTTGCAGTCTGAAAAWACGAATATATGASAAACATCTATCATGTTCGTATMTTTTGGTTMAAATGGAAGAAATCATCATTACTTTYGTCATTACTGGGCTTTTCAATTAAGTTTAAGCCTAWTTTGGTTATTGKTGCAGTGGTAGCAGTTGTTGCTGTAGTAGCAGTTGTAGCTGTTGTTGGTGTTGTCATGGTATAGTAGGTGTTAGGTCTATTCTGATGCAAACCCGCKTCTTCTGTAAAGGCGAAGAATTCATCATAAACGATTTGAACCATGTGACGATGGCAACATGAGGACAAATAGGTTACTTACAAATATACAGCAATTTCAGAAAACGCCGCCGATCAAGGCACTGGGGACGAAACACTTAAACGAGGTCTCAAAGGCCAGCCTCTGTAAAGTAAACTTCCACGGTGTTTTGCAATATTGCTTTGTTAGAAATAACATACCACAGTTATTTCACTGGAAAAAATCGCGCGCTTTAAAGGTTGTAAATTTGATGTAAATATGATGTGTCCAAAATTCTGTAAATTTAATGGAAATAATTTATATCAAATTTACAGAATTTTGGACACTTACATCATATTTACATCAAATTTACAACCTTTTAAGCGCGCTATTTTTTCCAGTGTTTCACAGTGCCATACATGCGATCTTCGTGATGTAAGGCCTTGGATGTCTCGTTTCCATGATTCGTCACTAGACCCCCGATATTGACGGCCGTGAACTACCGCCATTTTTGAAAGTCGTGTTTATAGACCATATTCAACGTTTTTAGAAGTAGCTGTATACAAATGTTTAGTTATTATGGGTTGAATTTCAACTTGAACCCAACGTTGAAAATCCTTTCATATATTTCTTGAATCTCAACAGCTCTTACGAGTCACTTCAAATTACTCAATTCCCAAACAAATATTTTTTTTGCAAAACGCTGTATTAACTTACTACTGGATTGTTCTTCGTCTTTCTGCTTTGTAAACTGCGACGCTACGTCAGGAAGCAACAAATTCAATTTCTTGTTTGGTTGACTTTTATTACCTGTCGTTAAAACCAAAAAATTTCCCAAAATTTATCTGGTTCCTCGATTAGCTACATGTATAATATTGTGCAATTTTCTCATAAACTTCATGCAACAAAAAATGTTGCGAGACAAACCCATATGATATTTTGCAAATCTTTGCCAACTTGTGTTTCGACAGTGTACGTGACCCAAAAATTGCAACAAAAGTTGCACTGTGGAATGGCATTGCAAGTGTAGACATGGAGAAAAACTCTTACTGAAAATGACAGAAAAAGCTCATTTCGCATTCCCAGGAGCCGGGATTGTGTTCTGAGCACACCCTTGAGAGGCAAGATAAGATAAGCATCACGTTTACGGCAAATGACTAAAGGCAGATCTGAACCAGTGACGTACGAATTTCGTGCCTGAATGTGTGCTTTTAGTAGTCATTTTAAAGAGCGACTTTTCACGATTATGGCAGCCCCAAAATAACTCGCTCAGATCGCACTGAAACTGTAACGGTAAACCCCTAAAAAGCAAGTCACGTGATCTTTTCTGCCCTTTGTCGTTTGCCGTGAACGTCATGCTTAAGCTCTCTAAGAAGCATCACGTTTACGGCAAATGACTAAMGGCAGAGCTGAACCAATGACCTACGAATTTCGTGCCTGACCYTGTGCTTTTGGTAGTCATTTGAAAGAGCGACTTTTCACGATTATGGCGGCCCCAAAATAACTCAATCAGATCACGTTGAAACTGTAACGGTAAACCCCTAAAAAGCAGGTCACGTGATCTTTTCTGCCGTTTGCCGTAAAAGTCATGCTTAAGCTCTCTAATATCATTAGTATACGCCGCTCTAATTATATACCAAGATAGTCATTTTTAGTTATACTTACCTGACGTACAAAATCCACAAGTTTTCGCACATCCYCCTCTCATAACAAAACCAAATTTATCATTCTTACACATGCCAGCTTTTGACCAACTGGAGCAACTATGAAATGCGTCACGGCAGCCTGTCAATCAAAAGGTGATCAGTATAGAGAACAATAACATAACCTTAGCTTCGACCAACATACACCTAATTGAAGAAACTTTGTCGGGCCCAAAAAGGTCAAATCACAGAAGATAAGACCGAAAGGGTACTTGGGAAGACAAACAATTTGGCTAATTTCATAACAAACAGCTCTCCAGCATAAAAGACTAGCATGCTGTTAATCTTACTAGCTCTACTTGCTTAGTGTACACCGTATATGCAAATGTAATCCCAATTTAGTGGTACTGAAAATCCCTTTCGGTCTTAGCTTCTATGATGGGACGTTTTCGAACACGACTAAGGTTTTTCAATCAGGTGCATGCCCGAATAATAATGCAGGCACGGTTTAGGTCGGGCTCCCCGTATCCGAGGTAACTCAACTTAAAGCAGTTCCATATGCTGCCAGCTACAACCTTCCTGAAGTTATTGCTATACTATAAACATAGATAATGTAAGCCGTCGTAAGAAACAATATGGCGCGTTATGTGTGTCCTCGTTGAGCCCCACCTTATAGTCARAAACGTGACCTTTTTTAAATGAATATTTCGCATTTTATTGTACTACAACTATTCTTAGACAAAACCCCTTTTTAAATACAGGTGCCTTTTCATAAAAGGCTGGGCGGAGTTGGAGCTTAGAGTTTGCCTTAATGCAAAGCTAATGGCCACTTAAAGCCCTTTGGTACTGCGTGTTAAGCGTGTGCTATAAATTTCCTAAGTTATCTGGCAGGGGACAGTTTAGTATTCACATATCATTTGATGGGAGTTTTATTTCTTAAGAGCGTCAGTGAATTCCACTAAACCAATCTTGGATGGCTTTTCTAGAAAATAACCAATTTTGTACAATTTAGAAAACATTTTTTCTAGTYGTGAGAAGTTACAACAGCAACGTTGATGTCATCTATAAGGTGAGAGATTGAGATACTTAAATGATCTTTCAAAAATATTTTCGAAACTAGTCGTACTTATTTTAGTCAGAAGTCGAGTAGAAAGTGAAGTGCCCTCAAGTACAATATCAAATATTCAAACCTTTGGATTGACTTACCTATCGCGAAGGTCAGCGTTGCGAATAAGACCACAAAAATATAGCTAGTTCTTGTCATCATTCTACGCCAGAATCAACCGAATAAGTGTTAACGTTTTTGCCAGAATTCAAACACTTTTTTCATCGAAAACCTATGCTCCGATCCAAATCGTTATTACATTTTTTTCAAGATTTTCAAAACGTTGGTTCTTTTGTCAAGGATATTTCAAGAGCGAATCGTTACAAAGAGATGTTATAGAGTTTGTATAAATGTAAGATGTTTTGACAATTTTTTTACAACATTTCTCTGAGTCCAGGGCAGTGAATAAAGTAAATTATTGACGCAACTCGTCGAGGTAAAACGATGTCACATCAAACAATAGACCACCAACACTTGGAAGCTCATCAAGTGATTAYTTTTTTATTACGCTGATTTGATTTTAGAAATTTTAAAGCTATTTTATGATATTTTTACCAGAGAAATTCTCAAATAGAATTTTACTTTACAGAAACATACAAGAARAAATTAAAATTTGGTTGAAGTTTTTTTTTTAATTTCCTATTCTTAGTTTTGAAGTTACTTTCTTTCAGAATTAATATTGATTTGTTGAAATTAAAGAACTACTCCATATGAGAAACCTTATAATATAAGACAACTGGAACCAGAAATAATTCTATTTATCATATAATTATCTATGAAATACCTATATTTCTCCATTTCGTAAAATTAGTTAAAATAGTTAAAATAACGCATTCGAGGTTTCTCTATATAATTGCAAGTAAGAAAAAAAGGTATTTTACGACATAATTTGCTTTCATATAAAATTATATGAGTAAATAGAATATTACATGGTCGCTTGGAGATACGAATTTTATCCTCTCGTGTTGAAAATCTCTTACTCGTTCGCTAGGATGACTCGTGAGAGATCTTTTCAACACTCGAAGATAAAATCCGTATCTCCGCGCGCCCATGTAATATCCTCTATATATTATAAACATTTAAGGCAGACTTATAAGAAAACGATTAAAAAAGAAGCGAAAAATACCAAATATTTTCTTAAAAGATGGTTCCCATCATGCACTATAACCCGAGGTCGACTGGTACCAAACAAAGGTCACAAGGCCACGTGACCCTGTCGGTGGCGAAACGCTTTGAATCAAAATACTCCCTAAAACAATACGATYAGATTATTCTTTACTTACGAAATTAAATCGAGTGTTATTTGATTATTGTGATTCTTCACATCAATAGTCTATTAATTTAGAGACAATAATGTGAAGAATTGTCAGCGAAGTTTCTCGAGAGTTTTCCCAAGAAACTTCAAGAGCTGACCTCATTTTGGACATTGTTTTGAATTGTTTCAAGCTTTAAGAACACCTTTTTTGACGGACAACAGCACGTAGCAAAAAAGTGATCTAATTGCTTTCATTTGAGACCAATCTTTGCTAATCTTGATAAGACGCGACGTCTGTTGGTTGGGGGCAACTTTAAATGTGGTCAAGGTACTGTCTTTGTTAAAATATMTTTATTTTAGGTATAAAACATCCTTTTCTGCTCGTTAATTTTCCTTTCTCCGGCATGAGATTCATTTTCGCCACTGGCAACTGCCTAAAACCGCTAAGCACTTTACCCCTTTTGCGTCAAGTCCTTTTGCTTGAAGAAAACTTTCTGGTCCTTCATAGAAAACCCGTACGAGCAWCGATTTATGCTAAGAGGCAACTTATTTCTGGCATTAATAAAATTCATACAATATAATTGAAAAAGTTAGCTGATAAGGTTGTGCAAGTTTTCTAAGAAAAAACATTATTAGCTTATTATTAGTGCTAAATTCTGCTTATTTGTTTTCCATTGTTATATCTACAATATATTGCGCTATTTAGCACCATTTCGTTAGAGTGAAGTCATTAAACC